TACTGAGTCTTCTGAGGCAGGCAGGCACCACTGTCCCATGTGGGGCCTGAGGAGGAGGCATGCCCAAGACCTGGCCCACGAGAAAGGATGGCTGCAACAGTTTGCGGCTCTTGCATGGATTTCCCCAGCCCTTGCAGCTGGGCTGGTCTTGTGACTTGCTCTGACCAATAGAATATGATGGAAGTGACATCGCGGCAGTGCCAGCGTCCAGGCTCTGGAGGCCTGTAGCTTCTGCCTTTGTCTTCTCAGCCCCCTGAGGCTCCCAGGCCATGAAGAAGCCTGAGAAGAAAGACTGGGTAGAGAGGGGCTTAAGGGTCCCCGCTGAGGCAGCATCCAGGGATGTAGTCCCCCCACGGGAGCCTCAACAAGACCCTCAGAGGATTTCTCACCCAATCCACAGAACTATGAAATTAACATTAGACGGTTTTTGTTTTAAGTCACGACGTGTTACTCCGAGATAAACAGCTAAAAACCCTTGGCAAGGTCACTTCCAAGACAAGGTCGATTCAAGCAGGGACTGCTTCTGCTGGCAAGGAGGTGCAGGAGGTTAACGACAAGGGGTGCTCTAAGTCCCCCAAATCTTTCCATACACCCTTTATTTCATTCCCTTCCTGGAATCGGTGCCCAAACACCACCCAAGGCCTAGCAGCACTGCAAGTCAACCGACGAGGTAATTCGGCAGCAACAACAACCAGAAACCCCTTCCTATCTTGACCACTCTGCAACCCAACTCAGCCCCTCCCTCCTGCTCCTGGGCCCGTTAGCCTCTCCGGTGAAGCCGCTGAATCTACCACGTGATCCAGCTGTTCATGCTGGAAGGCCTCTTTCCTGCCCTCTTTCCGCTCCAGCTCCAGCACCCCTTCTTGCAAGGCATCTCCCAGTAAGTCATGCTGCATCATGGAAAGAACCAGGCTTTAAAGTCACAGAGATAATGTGTTCATATCCCAGGACTGCCACGTGATCTCACATTCCTTAGCTTATCTCGCTAATAGCAAGTTGGCCACATGGTGGGAGCCCTGGTGGATTCGTGGGTCATGCGTTGGGCTACTAGCTGCCAAGGCTGCGGCTGGAAAGCCCCAGCTGCTCTGTGGGAGAGACGGGGCTCTACCCCGACAAAGAGCGACCGCCTTGGAGACTCACCAGGGCAGGTCTACGCTGTGCCATTGGGAGGCTGTGTGTTGGAATCCCCTTGATGGCAGTGGGTTTCCATTTGAGAATTGGCCACGTATTATTTGCCAAGTGTTGTGACTGACCTCACTGAACTGTCATCACCAGTGTGTGGGGTGAACGCCGTGGTCCTTTTCATGGCCCTAGGGAGGGAACGGAAGCACAGAGGTTAAGAAACTTGCCCAAGTCTACTCAGTTAGGGAATGGCTAACTGGGACAGGCCCCTACCATCATGGGCACCACCCATCTAGGGACTCCTAGTGGTCAGTCCCTAAAAGATGAGTCCCCAGCTCCCCACCTCTGGGGTGCTCCCAATCCAGTAGGGTCATCATCTCTCCAAGACTTGCAACCAACGGTGCCAACAGTTAAAGTGTTCAGCTCAGCTTCCGACAGAAAGATCAGAGGTTCAAGTCCACCCACAGTTGCCTCAGAAGCAAGACCTGTGATCTACATGTGAACAATCAGCTCATGGAAGTCCAAGAGCCTGTGCGATCTGATACCCCTGGGGTAACGGTCAGTCTGAGGACCCCACGTAGTGGGGAATGGTGGGAATAGCAGTGGCCTCCAGGTGGCAGGACCAGGATGGGCCACCAGGGCCACAAACACCAACTATTCCCCTAGCCTCCTTCCCAGCCCTAGCCCACCCGCCTCCCTCACCTATTCTGCCACCCTGCACCCCAGGACCTCCACCTGAATCTGCCAGTGGTTGGTGGGAACACAGCCTTCCACTACCTTACTCACCTTCCACTCCACCCCCACCCTTCCACCCCTTCCCACGCACCCTCCACCATCTCACCCTTCTACCCAACTCCAACCCACCTTTGACCTACCTTCCCCACTTATGCCTGGTGTATGGCCGAGGCCATATGGTGGCTCCCACACCAGGTCTGGCATCTTTTGCTGCCCACTCGCCCTGATGTGGGGGCGGGGCCAGGGGTCCTGGGTTCCAGGCTAGGTCTGCCTTCCCTGCCTCGGGGCTGTACCTGTGTCAGAAGGGCTTCCCACCTACTGGGCTATTGTGGGAGTTAACCAAGAGGACACAAAGGACAGGCAGGCTATGCCCTTTTATTTTTGGCATTAGGCCAGTCTGCACTCCTGCCCTTCCTGGTTGGCAGGCAAGCCGGAGCAACCCAACTGTCTAGGATCAAATCTCTACTTCAGCCATCTCACCTGTAGAACGGGGATGACAAACTAGCCAAGCTGTTCAAAGGTAGGGGGAGTGGGGTGTGTGTGTGTGGATATTTACACAGACGAGAGATTTCCAGCATTTGTGGAAAAATTCCCACAAACGTTCTGAGGCCCCCTTGTATTAAGTGATCATCCTGGTATATGGGACCCAGGAGGGGTCCTGGTGGCCCAGTGGGCTACACGCTGAGGTGCTAACAAGGTCAGTGGTCTGCTGCTCCATGGGAGATACTTCTACTCCCACAAAGACTTAAAGTCTCAGAAACCCAAAGGGGCAGTTCTACACTGTCCTAGAGGGTCACCATGAGTTAGCGCCGACTCAATGGCAGTGAGTTCGGGTCACCATGCCAAATGGAGGTGGGGCAGTCAGGACAGGCTTCTCTGAGCAGATGACAACCCTGAACCTGGGGCTGAGCCCTTGGTGACAAAATGCTACTCGGTAAGACTGGGGAGAATCACTAGTGCAGAGGCCCTGAGGTCCAGTAGTACACCTGGCAGGTCTGGGAGCAGAGATCAGGAGACTGGAGCACACCTGTCACTGCCCCTAAGCCTCCACCTTCAGGGCAGAGCTCGGATTTCCTGCATCACCCACAGCCAGGGACTAAGGGCAGTGCTGTTGGACCCACTGTGGATGGAAATAGCAGCAGGGGCGCCACTGCAGCCCCAGTCCTATCTAGGAGGTGCTTGACCAGGCAGGGCGCTCCAGGAGGGATAAGAGATGCTCAGAGAGAGGCTATCACCCGCCCACGGTCACATGGCTACCAGGTAACAGAGATGGAGCTGGCATCCAGTTTCCTCTCCCTCCCTAGCTAGACACCAGTCTCCCATCCTAGGCCCTGAAGGCAACTGTCTCAGGAGGAATCTGCCGTGTCGTTCTCCCTACACAAGCCTGTGACGGTTAAGTTTACTGTGCCAACTAGGCTTCCATAGGAACACGTGGGCAGCATTTAATCAGGTCACAGCTTGATTGGAGGGCAAAGAGGTGATCGGACCAGCATGCTGCTGCTTGAACTAGTTCTTTGTTTTAACCATGTGCTGCAATACCTGTGGGCCGAGCCAACCTGTGGATTGTGCTGCTCCTTTGAGACCTGCTTCCCCATGCTGTCAAAGTGAGGAGTGAATACACAGCTGGAGCTGGAGCCCCATCAAGGCTTTAAACTCTATGCTACCAACTGTTGCTGCCCCACCCTGCTGCCTGCTAGCAGGCTCTACCTGTCTTGCCCAAGGGCAGACTCCTCTGCTTCCTTGACCTTGGAGCAGCAGCCTGTGTGGGTTGAAGGACCTTCAGTCTATTAACTGTTCCATGAAGGTGAGTTGAACGGAACCCTCTGTACTGCTGTGTAGACTAATTAGCTGTTGTATTTCTTCTCACTGTATAAACCTATCCATATATATATACATATAATCATAAGTCTCCTGGTTTTGTTTCTCTAGAGAACCCTAACAAAATCCAGTATGTCTGATAACCCTTGAGCAGCAATTCTCAACCTGTGGGTCGAGACCCCTTTGGGGGTCGAACGACCCTTTCACAGGGGTCGCCCGATTCATAACAGTAGCACAATTACAGTGATGAAGTAGCAACAAAAGTAATTTTATGGTTTGGGGGGGTCACCACAACACGAGGAGCTACATTAAAGGGTCGCGCCATTAGGAAGGGCCTAGAGCAAGGGTTCCCCACTTAATTCCTTCCAAAGCCCCTTCCCTGCTCAGGTAACCTGCTAACAGTAGTGCCTTTGGCCCTGGGTATGGAGGGAGGCTGGCTGAGCTGGGGATGTCAACTGAGAGCCTGCACAACAGCAGGACTGGGAAGTCCTGGGCTCCAGGGCCACACTGCCATCCCGGCTCTGTGTGCACTCCCTTCCACAGGCAGTCACAGATAACGAGCCAACCACCTGCCCAGAAACCATTTCCCAAGGCCTGGAATGGGCCTGCAGGGCAGGTCACTACCTACGGTTCACAGATTGTTTTTAGCACACCTGGCTTAACAGAGTGAGTGTTTCGCCCTCCAAGAGAGTGACAAGTGAGTCTCTAGATCCCCCAATCTCCTTCCATGCGACAACAAAATGTCAAACGTTTTATTGAAAAAAAACCCAGAATTATACATGTACGTTCTTGATTTGATAGCAACGAAGGCTGGGGTTCCCCCTTCCCTGCCCATCTTTAAAAAACGGAAAAAAACAAAACCCCAACCTAATTCCACAATGCCTGATGTAAATGATTCTTGACCAGTTTGCCAGGACCCCCTCCTGGGAGTCATGGTCCAGGCCCCCACCATCAAAGCCGGAGCTCTTTCTGGGGATGCCTGGTCCTGGGGGCGGTAGCACCTTGCTTGTAGATGGCCAAAGTAGGGAGAAAGAAGGCTGGGACAGAGTTGGATCGGGCCCTCCAGCTCGATTCCAGGTCACAGATGAAAAAGCACTTGGCGACACATATGAACTCTGAGGCTTGATGTAGACGGCTGCCCAGGGCCCACAAGATACGTAATACCCCACCCCCCACCATGGCCCACCATCATGGCACCTGGGGGCTGATATCCAAGTGGAGTGTGGATCCAAGCTGGGAAGGTTGGTAATCCTGGTCTGTTTCCCCCACCCCACCCCGAGGAATGTCCAAGGCTGATACCTCACGTCCCCACCCCCCACCCCCACCGCAGCACCCATGTGTTTCAGGAACCCCCTGACGCCCCACTCCCACCCTGGGGCCCTACAACTCGTCCCTCATCTTGTCGCCCTTGGGCCGGACCAGACGCCCAATGAACAGCAGGGAGCCGCTCTGGGTGTCGCGCACCAGGAAGATGAAGGGGTGGTCAGCGTAGAACAGCTTGGGGCTGCGCAGCTCCTCCCGCCCGTAGATGTCCTGGTCAAAGGGGTTTCCCTCCGTGTCCCACTCGAAGGCAGCGGCATGGTACACGCTGGCCAGGTAGAGGTCCTTCTTGCCCGACATCCGAGACAGGTCCGCCTTGTTCTTGTCAATGGCCTCAGTCAGGCCCAGACCAGCCAGGTGTTTCTGTGGAAGAAGGTGACGTCAGAGGCAGCAGCAGCAGACAGGCTTCAATGACCCTCACCCTCCAGCGGTGAGGCCTCCCACCTCCAACCCTGTCCATCCCTCAAAGAGGAGGAACCTTCCATGCCCCACGCATGGCGTGGGCCCTTTCCAATGGCTGCTTTCTTAATTCTCACAATGATCCCACATAGGGTTTCTAACCCTGGCTTTACAGGGGAGGGCATTCAAGTTCAGGAGGAAAAAAAAGTCAGAATTCAAATACCTGGCAATGGAGCGATCTTCAGCACCCTGGGGGAGCTGATATAAAGCTCATGCTGCCCGACCCCCCAGCCCAGAGCTACTGCCCCAAGAACCTGGCTGGAATTAACTTTCCTGGGGGATTCTCAGCACACCCAAGTCTGAGAAAGATCACTCTAGGTGGCAGCTTTCCATATTCTGGGGGCTTAGATATCTATAACTTTGGATATGTGACTTAACCTTTCTCAGTCTGCTCCCTCCCCTGTAACATAGGGCTTATACAGACACAGCCATCAGAGACATCTGGGGGCAGTTCCAGACCACCACAGTAAAGGGACTATCACAGTACAGCGAGACGCACAAATAGGTGGTGTCCCAGTGAGCAATATGATGATATTATGCAGTGGTCTGTTAAGAGAGCAATTAAAACTCAGAAACAGAAAAGCAGCATCGAGTCGATGCCGACTGACAGTGACCCCGTGGGACAAGGTGGAACTTCCCCTGTGAGTTTCTGAGACAGCAATCCTTTACAGGAGTGAAAAGCCCCATCTTTCTCCTATGAGCAGATGGTGGTTCTGAACTGCTGACCTTGTGGTTAGAAGCCACTCTGCCACCAGGGCTCCTATAAGTGGGCAATAGCCTCATGAGAAAGTTTTGAAATATTATCACCAAAATGGGACACAGAAACACAAAGTGAGCACGTGGCTGGGGAAAATAGATGGACTCCATTCTGGGTTGTCACACGCGTTCCATTTGTAACCAAAGGCAGTATCTGCAGAGCGCAATGAAGCGATAAAGACTATAAACCACGGTGTGCCTGCACTTCTATCCCACGCACTCGCCGCTACCAAGTCAATTCTGACTCATAGCACGGACCACAGGACAGGGTAGAATTGCCCCTTTGGGTTCCCAAGACTGTAACTCTTTTGGGGAGTAGAAAGTCTCATCTTTCTCGTCTGGAGGAGCTGGTGGTTTGGAACCGCTGACCTTGAGGTTAGCAGCCCAATGCATTCACCACTATACCACCAGGGCTCCTAGAACATTGTTTTGAGGATTGAGAGTTTAATACACACAAAGGGTTTAGAAGAATGCCTGGTGTGGTCATCCCTGTCTGAAGGGCAGGACCTCCCTCCCTCCCCCATCAACCTTGCCCATAGCAGAGCCCAGTGCAGTCATTCAGGGGGTTCAGAGAAGAAGTATGGCACTGATGAATGGACGCCCCAAGTGCCCTCCTCCCGTAAATCCTACAGGCCCCAGACTGGGCCATCCCTCACCTGCAGGTCATGGGTCACCTCCACTGCACCCTTGGGCAGGGAGATGGCCACAGCCTTCTTCTGCATCTTCCCCATCCAGATCTTCAGCTGCTCCTTGGTCAGCAGCTTCTCCAGGCGCTCGAGGGGCTCCACGTGGTGGGGCATGAGGATGATGAGGCTGGAGAGCTTGTGGGCCAGGGGCATCTCCACAATCTGCAGCTTCTCCTTCTCGTCGTCAAAGTAGTTATAGAGGCCTGGGAGACAGGCAGCAAGAGCACTGGGCATGCCGTGGGTGGGCTCCGGGCAGGGCCCCCGCTCTGTCAGACACTCCCCTGCCCAGCGGGGCACTTACCTGTGCGGTGCATCATGGCGACGCCCACGGTATAGGATCGGGTCACCATGAAGCCACGGTTGTCCACCATCTTGTGGTGGAATTTCTCATCCCAGTGTGCTGTCGTGGGAGGTAGAACGCAGGCTCAGAAGACAGGCTCCACTCCAAGACGTCCCCAGACACAATCACAGCCCACAGCACCCCGGCTGAGCACCCAGCCGTGAGGACATGGCCTCTGCTTTGGGGAAGGGTCTTGGCCCAGGACATGCTGTGGGCATCCACAGTCAGGGAGTTCCTGCAGGAGGACCCTCGGCTCGGCCACCTCCGTGGGCGCCTCCATATCCTGCCCTGGCACCTGTGCTGAACTGGACTTTCCGCCACAACTGCCAACGTGAGGGCCTGTGCCCTGGGCAAGAAGGAAGACCACCCTTAATTCTTATCTCTGACCCCTCCAAAAAAAGACCCAAACACTGTGTGTGACAGTGGCCAGAGTTCCATCCTGCCCTTAGGACAGACCTGTGTTCAAACCCAGACGCAGCCAGCAACTGACCACAGGCTCTTCCCACCTCCCCCACTTTGCTCACTCACTTGTAACTTATCAATGGGGTCGCCTGTGCTCACAGCCAGTCCACAGCAGAACTCAACACATGTAGTACCCCCAAGCTACCATTCAGGTCAAGAAACCCTGGTGGCCTCGTGGTTACCCATCGGGCTGCGATCTGCAAGGTTTGAAACTACCAGCCTGCTCCATGGGAGAATGACGGGGCAGCTCTACCTCTACCCCACAACAGGTCGCTATGAACCAGCACCCACTCTATGGCAGTGAGCTTGGGTTCCATGATGACCGTGAGTCAGACACCCCTGGGCCATAGTCACCGTCCAGCACAGCCTGTTTCTTCTTCTGTGAAGTGAACTTGGCCCTGCCTGCCTCCAGGGGTGCTGAAGGATTCGGGATGATCACAAAGGTGGAGCCTTTCTCCAGCTCATGACAGGGGGGGCGGGCAGAATTGAGTGTTAAATATAACGGATGCCAAGACTCGTTGGAATTTTATCGTGTCTAGAATCAGATTGATTTTGATGTAGGAGCAAGTGGAGAGAAAGATGAGGCTTACTGCTCCCGTCAAGAGCTCCAGCTCGGAAACTCACAGGGGCAGTTCCACCCTGTCCTACACGGTCACTATATGCCAGCGTGGTTTGGTTTTCATTTGGGGAGGAGCATGTCCTCGAGGGCCCCTTTGAACCCCTGTCCTCTCAAAACCTAGTGTCTACTACTACAAGGCAGCATCGTCAGTGCCTCCTTGACAGCTTGTGATGAGAAGGAAAAAGCAGTCAGGTGTGCAGGGATGACGTCAGCACTCTCCTGACTGGTTCTCGGGAGGTATGAAGCCCCGCCCCGGCTCCTCCCTCCGGCCCCTCCCTCCCAGCCTTGGTACTCACGCTTGAAGAACATGGCATTGACCAGCAGGGCGCCGTCCGTGCGTTCCACCTCCTTGGTGACCTCGGGCAGTTTGCCGTCCGTGGTCTGCGCGGCCCACTCGTTGATGGATTGCAGGGCGCTGCGCTTGTCGCGGAAGTTGATCTTGGAGTGCTCGCAGTTGTAGTGCTGCTTGCTGCTGCGCACGAAGTCCTCGGCGAAGCTGACCGAGCTGGGCCCGTACAGCCGGCTGCCCAGCTTCCAGGTCATGTTGCGCGCAGTGCTGTTGCTCAGCGAGCGCAGCAGCTCGCCCAGGCCCGCGTGCACCTCCTCGTCCCGCAGCTGCTCGGCGCTCAGCACCGCCTTGGCCTGGGATGCTGTGGTCGCCTTGCCACCCAAGGACACGAGCCCCAGAGATGAGGCCACCACCACGGGCGACAGCAGGATATTCTCCACCGCCTGGTCCTTGGCCATGGCCTGGTATAAGCTGAAGGCCAGGCCGGCACTGCGCTCGGCTAGTGTGGTCGCCTTAGGGCTCAGCTTCTCCGAGGTGCCTGGCGCTGCTGCCGCTGCCGCTGCCCCAGGTTTCTTCACCTCGGCAGCCAGGGCCATGGCCATGAGACAGAAGGAGCCGATGAGCAGGAGGGAGCGCATGGCTGGGGTTTAGGCGGTGTACACCTCCGCGGACCTGTGAGGGCTGTAGAGAGAGGGCGGCCCTGAAGCCCCTGGGTGTCCTCTTTACCACCAAGTCTCCAGGTGATGGCATCAAGAAAGCCAGAGATCTGGGGAGCCCAGACCTGACCCTCCAGGCTGCTCAAATGGGGCTCTGTGTGCTGACCTGACATCTCTATCCAAAAAAGGGACCCTTGCCTCCCACCCTGCAAGTCATCACCTGGCCACCCTATTCATTCTAGGCATTGGACTTACAATGCATACTTATCTGGATGTCTGTTATCTATTCTTTCTGTCCCTAAATAAGGCTGTGAAACAAACCAGTCCAGTTCCTCCCTATGTCTGTCCCCAGTGCCCAGCGCCCAGCAGGCCAGTGCTGCTCATGGATGAGTGCCAGACAGGGCCCCTGGGCCAGCCAAGGATGTGGGTCCTCGCCAGACCTGATCCCACCCAGCCCTGCACTCTCTTCCAGCCCTGGGCTGAGCATCTGCATGAAGCCCAGATACCCGAGCAAAGGTCACGTGCCCTGCCCACGTGCCTGTCATCCTGCCCCTAGATGCTGATGACTCACTGTTTGGTTCACTTATTAGAGAGGAGACCACGGGCGCCATTCTATTGCCACCAGGTGACCTTGAGATTCTCGGGGAAGGGGTTAGTACTGGATTCCATCCCTCTCTGAGCCTCAGTCTGCCTTCCAAGCTGCAAAGGCCTAGGTCTCTGTGCTCAAAGCCTCCTCTTTCTGGGCAAAAACCTGATCTGCCCACAGCTCCTGAAGCAAATGGGAAATCCCCAGTACACAAGGTCTTTGAAACCTGGGGGGGAGGGGGCGCTTCCTGAGAAAGCAACAAGGGCAGGATGCTGTAGGAGTGGGTGAGTCATATCTTAAAGGAGTACAGACACCCCTACCCTCCACCATCACAAAGGCTGGCCAGGTGTTGTCTAGCCTTCCAGGAAGCTTGGGCCACATCCCATGGGACAGCCACTCAGACCACGGGATCTGTGGCTTTGGGGTTGCCCTCTCCAACCAGAGCAGTACCCGAGGCCCCTGAGGCAAGTCCCACTCCCCTCTAGAGGGGTGCAGCTTCAATCAAGGCAGTCTCTGTGCCGGGTACAGTTGCCCACCACCTCCCTTCAGGAATTTCCCCTCCACTTCTCCTGGTGGGGGAGGTGACTCTGAGAAGGAGTGAAGGGGAGGCTACAGTCCCATTCCGTGGTCCTCAAGGACGACAGACACACGTGGAACCCCAGTGGGAGACCCTCAGGACTGTGGCCTGCCTGTGGGTCCACAGTGTTTCAGGAAGTTTGCTGCTACAGCCTTGCCCACCTCCCAGGTGCGTGAGGAGGGGGCTGGAGGGAGGTGAGAGGGCCCTGGAGATCCACAAATGCCCAGAGAAGAGTACAAGAGAAGCCCGGGTTCCATCCTAAAGTATAGATGGGTTTGAAGGTGGGGGAGTCCCTGGAGTGGCCGGCCACCTCCCTCCCCCCACTCCTCACTCCTTCCTCACCAAGCCAGGGGTGAAGGGGAGGGGGTTTGGCAGAGTGACCAATATACTGCATTGACTGAATGCGGATGCGTCCAGAGTAAAATGGGACACTACTCATTCTGGTGCTGGGACAGCCGGTGCGGTCAGCCTACTCTCAGGCCTCATCTAGTCCAGAGAGTTGACTCGGATGCTGGAGCTCTGTTCCCTCTGTCCCCGAGGGAGATGATAATGGAGGGATCTGGCTCCCAGCCCTGCCACGAGGCAGCCGCCATCTCCCCAGCCCCCACCCCCAGCTACACAGAACCTCAAAGAGCTGGGAGGGGCTTCTCAAGAATGCTCCTAATAACTAGTTTGGGATTCCTCGGGCTGCCACACAGCTGCGCTCTGGCTCTCAAGTGACGTGGCAGGCAGGAAGCGGAATTCTCTCCCACGGCCAGCAGAGGGGGGCTTCCAGCCCAAGGAAACTGGAGGCCTGGCATCAGGTCCCAAGGACTTGCCAGGGGGCTCCAGGGGCCTTTGCTTCCCAAGTGCACAGGCTCTCAGCAGGACGCTGGGCAGCCATGTCAAACCCAGCCACAGGAACAGAGGCCTGCAAGTCACTGCACGCACCAACCAGCCTCCCAAAGCCCAGCCCACGTCACCACAGAGAAATCTCAGCCTTCAGGCCAAGGTTAGATAAGTTAGTCCCACCAAAAACATACCAGCTCACATAACCGAGGGCTGAGCCCACAGCTTAGGATTGGATGGGGGCTTTTGTAAGACAGGAGGAAGGAGGGATGCCAGGGGGCCACCAGAGGGTCTCAAACCCTGTGCAGAGGGAGTCTAAAGTACCTTGAAACTGCCTCAGAGGGGGGTCATTGCCTGCCTTTTTCATTCTGAAAGAAAACAGAAGAGTGAGGTGGATGGGACTGGGGCAAAGGGGAGGTGGTCAGTGTGGCCCCCAAGGTCCAGACTCTAAAGGGAATCCCATCTACACCCACCCGCAGCATGGCAGGTATGCCCCGTGTCAGCTCTACAGGGGACTTAGAAATGATGCCTCACTGTACAGCCAGGGAAACAGGCCAGAGAGGGTCTGGGAGTTACAGAAACTCCAAGGGGATTAGTAGGGCTGGGCCACCCCCTCGGAAGCCCGCCCCACCCCCCAGCCTCCCGCCCACCCACCAGGGCTGTATGTGGTATCTGATCTCACAACCAGTGCAAAAGAAATCTGTTAAGAAACCCCAGGGCAGGGTTGGACAAAGGCTGCAGACAAGAGATCTCCACAAGAGATCAAGGGAAGGGGGATGGGCGGGAGGGTGTGGCTCCAGTGGTGAATTCCAGGGACCAGGAGCCCCTCCACTTTCCCTCAGCCTCCATCCGGGCCCTGGGCCCCAGAGGGGCCAGCCGGAAACCTGGGAGGAGGAGCCGGG